TACACAGCACCTATTGCTGCCACGTTGGTTGGCCGTGTTGGTGTTCGGCGTGTTGGTCGTCAGCATCGTTGCCAACGTCATGGTGGCGGTGGCGGCTGGGCAAGATTGTCCGCTGTAGCACTTCGCCTCCACGGCTCGCCTTCAGCTTGATATCTTCATATGCCATGAAGGCCGAAATATTACTGGCGTACGAAAATATCACATCGGTGTGATATCTTCGTATGTCATGCATTCCTCGGCATTCCTGGCCTACGAAGATATCCAACCAAAAGCAAGCCATGCGCCTAAACTGCTGCAGCGGACGATCCTGCCCAACCCCCACCGCCGCCATGACGTTGGCAGCTATGACCAACGCACCGAACACCAACACGGCCACACAACGTGGCAGCGATATCTCCCGCACGCCTCTGCACGTATTGTACGGCATACCTGCGCTATCCTGCGTACTTGTGCGGCGAACGTCAACGTCCAAGCAGTCGTATGCAGCGTACACCACATGGTCACTATCGTCTGCGAAGTACTCGTCATAGTTCGGTAACTGCTGCATGACAGCGACGACTTCTTCGGCACCGCCAGCTTCTCACACAATACTCATCGTGTGGTGTACACTGCTTACAAGATTGCCGCACTCAACACCATCCACTGCCTGGTGTACTCACGCGTCATGACGACAACGATGCTCCCCTTCGTGCATCCCTTGCACTTGTGAGTTCGACTCCCACACGGGTGTAGTACACGCACGGACCGTCGTACTCCTGCCGCCCAGCCGGGGGACTACGGCCCCCTCGCGGGCGACGCAGCCCGCGTCTAGTCCGTCCGTCCGTCCGGGTGGCCGCTTGCTGTTTTCGCGTTTTTCGGGGTGTCGTCCGCGGTTTCGGAGCCGCGCCTTTTAGGCTAGCTCCGTCGCCGCGTGGGAGCCGCGGTCGCCGGTTCGCGCCCCGCCGTCGCCGCTTTTTTCGTCTTCCTGCGTTCGGCGCACCGCGCCGCACCGGACTATGGATGGCACCGCACCGCACCACACTTGGGCCTGCGCAAGGCGCCCCGGAGCATGGCCGTGCGCCGTTTCGTTGGGCGCGCTAGCTCCGACGTCGAGTGTGAGCCGCGGTCGCTGGTTCGATCCCGGCGCCGGCGTGTCGTTTTGTCCTTTTTTACGTTGCGGCTCGCTGGCTTCAGTACGCCCGCTTTCTTCTATTTTTCGTTCGGGAGCGCTGCCTTCGTCGTCGCGTGGTTCGTTTTTCGTGTCGTTGTCGTTTATTGTTCTTTTCTTTTTGTCTGGACTGTGCACCGCACACCGCATCGTCCCGGTCCGGTTTTCGGCCATGAACTTCATGCATTGCAAGGTCCGCAACCGCCTGGACGAGCACCTGGCACTCTGCGTCAGGATGTTCACGCAGGAGCTGTACAACCTGCACACGTTCCCCTTCGATGTGGCGGTGAAGAAGTGGCGTGAGGCCGTGGTCAAGGGGCGGTACCGCATGAACGACTAGCTTCTGATGTGGTGCAGAGGCCTAGCCAGCAACTGGTCGGCGGCTGGTGCAATGCAGTGGTGTTGATGGTGCTGACAGTGTACATATATATAACTTTGCCTTCGCGTGCTCACAACGTTTATGGACAGTCAAAGTGGCTCCGCGCCCTGCCCACAGAGACATTGGCGCAAATGGTGGTATGGCATGTGTGTTTCCAGACGTCAGGTGTTGTGTACAGCACACCGTACAGCCTTTGAGGGGGGGGTCTGTGGGGGCGCAGCCCCCCCCAGCGACTATACAAAAAGGAATTGTAACCGCAAGAAACACCCAGTTTATTACTGTAGGGTATTAGGCCCCAAACGAAAAAAAAACACTGGTCCCGGACTGCACCGCTCCACACCTGGGCCCGCGCAATGCGCCCCCGAGCATCGCCGTGCACTGCTTCGGTGTCCGCACCGCACCGCACTGAACCGTGTTGCACCGCACCGCGCCACACTGTGTGTGGCAGTGCATCGCACCGCACCACACCTGGACCCGCGGAATGCGCCCCGGAGCATCGGCGCTCACCGCTTGTGGTGTGCGCTAGCTCCGACACCGAATGGGAACCATGGTCGCAGGCTCGATCCCGGCGCATGCTTTTTTTGTTTATTCGTTCGGGACCGCGCACCGCACCGCACCGCACCGCACTGCACCGCTCCGCACCGCACCGCGATTTAATGGGCAAATCGCAAAACATTTTCTGCACCGCACTGCGCAATTTGACATGCGCCGACTCGCGCATTTTGATGCGCAACCCACCACACAACTCGACATGCAATTAAACATGCAATTCAACGCGCAATTTAACGTACACCGAACCACGCAATTTGACGCGCATTGAAGTGTGCAGTGCTTGTCCAACGTTGTCCGTGTAGGCTGTACGGCATTTTGTGAAGCTGTTTTGTTCACGGATGTTGGCTCGCTACAATATAATTGCACTGCATATATACGCATCCGGTTTACTTATTTTCATATACGGTACCGCGGCTGAGCGGTTGCTTTAAAGCTGGCGGTTGTAAACTAGTCGCGCCGCCAACATAAGCTGCGCGGTATTTCGCGAAGCTGGCCTCTTTACGTGCATCGGCTCGCTAACCGATTTTCGCCAGACGACAACATCTCGGTACATCAACGGTTGTTCATCGCCATCGATGGCTATTCATCCCCATCGATGGCTATTCATCGCCATCCTCGTCTGCACATCCTACACGATACAAGGTCAGCCCATGTTGCAAAGCAGTAGCAACGAATAGAAATGACGAATAGCAATGAGTAGAAACGATAGCAAGAATTGCAATGAATAGAAACACAACCCGCACCGAAGTGTGATGCGCAACACAACCTGACCCGCGGGACGGTTTGCACGGTCGGTCGCGTTCGCTGGGTCGTATACCGCGTTTTTTTTATATTTTGATTGGGGGCGCGCATTGCACCACGCGCGCCATGTCTCGGCTCGTCGTGCTTCGTCGTGTTATGTCATCGTGCTAGTTCCGTCACCGTGTGGGAGCCACAGTCGCCGGCTCGATCCCGGCGCCCTCGCGTATTTTCTTTTTTTTTTCGTTCGAGAGCACGCACCGCACTGTACCGCACCGCACCGCAGCTGGGGTCGTGCAACGCGCCTTGGAGCATCGGCGCGGACCGCTTCGTTGCGCGCGCTAGCTCCATCACCGTGTGGGAGCCGCGGTTGCCGGCTCTATCCGGGCGCCTGCACGTTTTTTCCTATTTTTTCGTTCGGGAGCGTGCACCCCACCGTACCGCACCGCACCGCAGCTGGGATCGCGCAACACACTCCGATGCATCGGCGCGCACTGCTTCATTGTGCACGCTAGCTCCAACACCAAGTGGGAGTCGCAGTCCCCGGCTCGATCCCGGCGCCTGCATGGTTTTTTTCGTTCGGGACCACGCACTGCACCGTGCCGCACTGCACCGCACCGTAGTGTACGGCACCGTATTGCACCGCACCGCACCGCACCGCAGCACCATGGTGCTGGCGAGTTGCACTGCACCCTGCCAGCACCGAAGCATCGACATGCAGCATGCACCGCAGCGTGTTAGTAGAAGCGCATAGTAGAAGCGCATAGGGGCGGGAGCGCTGCACATTGATGCCCATTGATGCCCGCACAGCGCTGTGCGGTTTCTATTCGATGCAACACACTGTGCAAAGCTTTCGTTTGGTTTGGGCGCGTCGGGGCGGGAGCACTCGGGCTACATTGTGGGGTCGTGCAACGCACCCCGGAACATCAGCGTGCACTGCCTAATCGTGCGCATTATATTCGTCCGCTGAGTAGAAGCTGAGGTCGCCGGTACTATCCCACACAGGTCAACGGTGCCCCTTGCACCTATCCCAATGGCATACTCCAGGCCGGTTCCGGCCCGGTTCCGACCTAACGGGTCCAGTTAACGAGATGGGTAACCGGTTGGTAGGATTACCGAGCGAACCGTTATCCGTTAACCGTCCCCAGTAATCGGTAACCGATGTCGGTAACCTGGCATGAGGAAAAATGCATTTCTGATTGCAACCAGTTTCTTTGTGACAATGCCCATTGTCACAAGGTTCATGCCCACGTGTCACACCCCGACAAGCTTAGGAGGTTAAGGCAATGTGAATGCCGGGTGACAGGGGTGACAGTCTTGTGCAGGCACATTTGGAGACTAGTTTACACTGAGATTGGGGTGATGTTGGATTAGAATACTTGCAGTTCATGAAATTGAGGAAATGTGTTGCATAGGCATATCCAAACGTTTCAGAGGGACGTTGTTTCGCCCGTAACAAACTTGTTACGGGCGAAACAAACTGGATTTCCACAGTCCCACCACTCAAAGAGCTCCCCACACCATCGCAAAGTCCCTTTTTTATTACAGACACATGTAACGAGTTGTCATAGCTTGAGATTGTCGATATATGACTGCTGGATTGTGACCAGGCCATCTCCTTACATGTCTTGCTGCACCAGCATGAGCAGTGATCCCTTCTGTTCAAAATTTTCAGGCAACATCGCAATGAGGCAAAACATTGTGCCGAATCTGCCGTACAAAGAGTGTTCAAAGCTTCACGCTACTAACGGACGAATACATAAGCATTCATTTACCTTGAAAGAATAAAGGAATTCTATAGCTTCATACAAATTCGCCTATCAGCAACTCTCCCTGGTCGTTCAAAAGTTGCTTGACGATTCTACCATCTCCATACTATGAAGGAGCGCTTCTTCATTTCTTCATTTTATCGGAACCTTAACGTATCCTTCCAACACAATGTCCATGGACAACGGTAATGAGGTCGGCGCCTACGAGTTTGACCGGAATGCCCTGGACAACATCGCCCGTCGGCGACAAGATCGCCCACGCAAGAAATACAGCCAGCATCGTCCAGTGGATGAGTTTGGAGTACATAAGTTTGCCAGGGCAAACAATCTAAGTCAATTTACCGCGTGCCAATTGGAGGATGCCTTGTCCAAGGAAAGGTGCCATATGGACGACCTTGTGTTAGTTTAGTTGTTGCATGTAAGCTTGTGAGTTGGTGGCCTGGTTCATGCTTATGGGCGACAATTGAAATGCCGGGACAATGACTTATTAGGGACATTGACATGGCATTTCACGCCCTCAAAGCGGGAACAAACGCTAAAACTAAATACATACATAGTTCTAAATCTTCTACTAAAATTTTCCTGCAGCATTAGAGGCCTTTAAATAATATTGGCGAACGCTGCTTCCCGCGCTACCGGGATACTCCCTATGGCATAAACATGCCGGTTACCGACCG